TAATTGTACAGGAATAGTTGTGTCTTTGTATCATGGTGCAGGAAGGAGAAGGCAAATGGTCTCTTTCATCAGCTATCCAGGAACCTAAAAATCTGCAGCTTTGAAACATATAGGAAATTTTGTTCCAGGAAGACCACTCTGTGGAGAGGAGCTTGGAGCAGACAGAAAATCAGCTTTCTCTTTTAAAGCACAAGCACAGCAGACAGTGCTCTCACCCCAAGGACTACATTACTTATTTTTGTACTCTCCTCGGTGTGAAAAGAGGTGAGTTTTCCTGAACAGTTTAATTCAGCCAAGTAATTAGGGGAGTAATGAAGGTATGATAGAGATTTGGAATTAGGTGTTTCTGGAAGGAATCTCCATCATAAGAATCCAAGAAAAAAAACAAGCTGAAGTGCAGCTTTATATCACCACAGCTTCTAGTTGTGCTTAACCAATGGCTCTGTTCTACACAGAACGTGTAAATGTGGCCTCCATTGCAGGTATTTATACGGTTGTGAAGTAGTTATTATTCAGGTTTAATAAAGTGGGGGTTTTTAAGGCACTATAAAATCCAAATCTGATTCTTCTTTTTCTCCTCAGACTTTTTTTTTTGTGTCTGAAATGCCACTTGCATGAAAAACAAACAAGATGTTTTTTCCCCCTAGAAAGGGAAAAAATTAAAAATGACAATACAAAGAGCTCCTGAAAGGAGTATCTCCTCTGAAGTCAGAACCATCCTAATGGCTGGAAAACAGCCTGAGCAGAAACTCTGGATTCAAATCCTGCAGATAAGAGCAAGCTTCACATCTGCAGAAGTAAGAATTTATTAATCCATATTTTGAACCCTCAGGTTCCCAGTGTTACAAAAGATGTGAAGAAGGTCAGTCTCTTCCCTCTTTTCTAGATTCTTCAGCTTGATTTTAACATCAACTGCAGTATTTGACCTGCTTTAATACACTTCTGACTGTTTTTAGCCTCTGTGGTTATTTCACTGCCCCATGAAAACAGCCTTTTCCTCAGCAGACAGAGTAACAAACAGACAGTGTGGCTGTCCATGTAAGTGTGAACAGCTCAGGCAGCAGAGGAGGATGTGAAGAGTAGCAGTAGTGTCTGTGGGTGATTACTGTTTTCTTGAGGCTCCCTGAGTTGCAGAGCCAGAATAAGAGCTTTAAGATCTCGAATTCTGTTACTGGTGAAGTGAAGCCAGGGTTAAGTCATAACGCATGGAATTACGACACAATGACCTGCATGGGTGATTTCCATGCTTTGGTGGCTATGTGCTTTTCCAGGGGAAGCTGGAAAAGGAGGTACCTCCAGAGAGGGTGGTGCTCACCTGCACCACCTCACTGACCCTGCCTTGAACCGGCAGCTGGGACACCAGCAGGTGGAGTCCTCACACCACTTTGCCAGCACTGTTGGGCTCAGTGTGAGTCGACCTGCAGGGACCTGGGGACATGATCCTTGAACAAGTTCAAGGGTTGCAGAAGAGCAAGATGTCAAGTGAGAACTTGTTTGATTAATCTCATGAGGCTGCAGGCCCCCCAGCTCTGCTGGCCACTAGGGAGGACAGCACAACCATTTTTCCCTCTTCAGTAGAAGATGGTGTGAGGGAAGGAGGTCTCTTCCTTGGGTGAACGTTATCATCATAGAATCATAGGATGGTTTGGGTTGAAGGGACCTTACACGACAGCTATTTCCAACCTCCCTGCCAGATTCCACTCACTAAATCAGGTTGCTCCAATAATTATTAATGAAGAAACACTCAAATAATTATGACTAGTGCTTCAATATATATCCCAAGATCTCATTGTCAGCTCATAGGTTTTGTAGCTCAGAGCTTCAACATAGCTGGAAGATGGAAAGCAAACTTTATTCCCTGAGAAGTAAACTACCTTCTAGTTTTCCTTAATATCCTTTCCCCACTGTGGACCTCACTTTCAAGTTTGGAGGCTTGCTGAGAGCCAGTGCCTACAATGATGCTTGTATCAAGAGAAGGCTCAATAGCATGACCTGTGGAATATGAGTCTGCATGTTTGTGTTTTCTTAATGCTTGTGACAGGTCAGCTGGAAGGCCCAGGATTCTGGATAAATAAATGCATTTAAATGCCAGATCTTTGCCTCTGGTGGATTTTAGGTCTTCACATCCTGAATCCTCAGGACTTGGATCTAGCAGCTGAAATGCAGCCATCACCTTTAAGGCCTTTACAAGGTTCACTCATGCAATTCCATACAGCATTTTTGCAACAGGATTGTGTAACAAGACAGGAAAAGAAAGCTATATGGGAAGAAGCTGCAGATTCTCGTTCATCAGCATGTAAATTTGTTCTCAATTTAATTACTCTAAATCTTGTGTTGAGCCCTAAGAGTGCACAAACACTGGTGCCACAATCTTCCTAAGGATGGTTTGAGATCTCACAGCATGAACTGCTTGTTCTCTAACAAATATTTGGAATAACTCTTGTATATTTTGCATTAATCTTGTTAAAAGGCCTTTCATAGATAGTTGTCACATTCCCATATGGCAAGAGGAAAAGGTTCTCCTAATGATAAAAACCAGCAAATCTGTGACCTCTGTAAAGAAGGCATTTCTTAAGTATCCCCCAAAGCCAGACCTTGCTCCATGTCCTCCAAGTCTGTTCTCATACAAGAGCCATTTTTTCTGACACAGAGGATAAAAGCCATTATTTTTTCCATCTTTGCTTAGGCTGCTTCAGATGACAGTGCAGAAAAGGACAAAGAATAACATTTTGGAACCACCATTTAATGATCAGAACTTGCTGAAGGCAGAAGGGTAAAAATTGGAGAAACTGCACTGAACACCCAGTGCACATCCAGTCATCTTAGTGAGGGGAACATAAGTACCTCAGTTCTTAGGGAGCGGGAATAGGAAATTAAAGGGAGAATGAAACAGCAGATTAAAAGTGAGACTACTGACAAAAGAGAATTCATCCAAACAACCTAACTGCCCTGATTTTGAGTAAGCTTTTGTCAGCCAGGCTGTAAGGTGTTCAGGGCAGCCAGAGAAGTAGATATGGAAAAATCTAACTTTGGTGAAGAAGGATATTTGCTTAAAGCGAATGTGTATACAAAAAACATTACATATTTATGTGAATACTTCAGTTTAAATTAAAGGCATATATTTCTAAATTGTGTACTTTTAGATAAGGAGTCAATGGCTCAATTACAACATGTTCTTGTTGCTGTGCTCATGTATTTCACAGGGTCTAGTAAGGAGGAGACATCTGAGAGAAACAGACACACCCTTAGCATACACAGGATAGTGAAGTAACTCTTCCTTTGTTATATGGCTTTCACACTCTGGGGAGTGTGAAGTAAATTGGTGTCTTTGTTATATAGCTTCACTCTCCGGGGAGGAGGGTGAAAAAAACCACATTTGGAAGTGTGTGAGCAGCAGGAGGGAAGCGTGTATGCCTCCAAAGAGGTAAAAGTTTGTCTTTCCAATATGTGCTACACTAAGATACAAGAGATCTGGCTTTGCTTTGTGACTGTGATCTAAACATTATTATTTCACTATCACCAGAGAGGGGTACCTAAGTTCTGTGCCTTTAACAGAAAAGGATTTCCACACATCCTGCATTCACCTTGCCTGTTGTTACATGTTTGAAGCACGGTAACAAACACACTAAGTCTTTTCAAGCTTGGTTAGATCAGAGTTCCTATGTGCTAAAAAGGCCTTAGGGGTCCTTTGCTGTAAATTAAGTTTGGCTCATCTGTCGTCAACCTCCCAGGATTATTCTGTGATGTTTCTACCATAAGAGATTTCACAGGGGCCCCCCTGTATTTTAGCTTACTCAGAGACTAGTCCTCTGCTTTCTATTTTCTCTGTCAGTTCCTATGTCAGTAACCATCTTTTTTTCTTCCTTTCCAGACCTGGACAACCTGTGCAGGTTTGGAAGCAATGGTCCCACTGGTATCCTGGGAGAAGGATGCATTGGAAATGAAGGATTGAGGGCATGAGCAGTGCAGGAGTGCCCTCTTTCTGCAGCAGCTATGTTACACCGAATGTGGCAGCTCTGTGGGAAGTGGTGCCGTTGGTCCAGCCCTTTCATCCATCTCCTCACCCTGACTGTGGTGACTTTTGGTGTGCTGGCACCTTTGATCTGCCACCGGCTCCTGCACTCTTACTTCTACCTGCGGCGCTGGCACCTGAATCCCATGAGCCGGGAGTTCCTGGAGCAGAACCAGCAGGAGGGCCAGGATGCTCTCCATTACTTTGAGAAGATGCAGATGCCAAATGCCTCCGAGGCCTCTGGCAGTGATGCCTTCCAGCCCTTGCTGCTGATCACCATTATCACTGTGCAGAGGCAGAATGATTTCCACTATGTCTTGCAAGTGGCCTCCCACTTCCACCGTCTTCTCCAGAAATGTGGGGCGCATTGCCAGAACCACCGCATGCTCCTCTGTAATGTGGAGTCAGACCCCAGCAGCCATCAGGATGTCAGGCTGCTGAGCAGTCTCTTTCCTATAGTCAGTCGTGACAGAACTGGAGAGAATCCTGATCCCAGCCTGAACCAGTTTGAGAAGGAGAAGCAGGACTACGTCTTCTGCCTGGAGCAGTCACTGTTGGTGTACAACCCAGAGTACATCCTCCTTGTGGAAGATGATGCTGTGCCAGAGGAGGAGATATTTTCTGTCTTGCAGCACCTCTTCTCGGCCCGGTTCTCCAAGCCCTACCTCAGAGACGCTCTCTACTTCAAACTGTACCATCCCGAGAGGCTCCAGCGCTACTTCAACCCCGAGCCCATGAGGATCCTGGAGTGGCTGGGCCTGGGCATGTTCCTGGGGCCGGTGCTGAGCTGTGTGTACTGCCGGGCCGCAGGGCGGGCGGGCCCCAGCTGGTGCCTGGTGGCTTTCTTCGCCCTGTACAGCATGGCCCTGTCCGAGCTGGTGGGGCGGCACTACGGGCTGGAGCTGCGCCGCCTGCACCCCGCGCTCTACAACGTGGTGCCGGCCAGCGAGTGCTGCACGCCTGCCATGCTCTTCCCTGCTGCCTCTGCCCGCCGGGCCTCAGGATACTTGCGGGGGCTGGGCTGCCGCAGGGGCTTCGCCAAGGACACCGCCCTCTACTCGCTGCTGCAGGGCAAGGGCGAGAATGCCTTCGTGGTGGAGCCCAACCTGGTGCGGCACGTGGGGATGTACTCCAGCCTCCGACTGAACAGTGACCCGAAACTGCTGTGAGCTGCTCCTGCCTTGCTGCACAAAAACACCCAGGGCACTCGCCATGGGGCAGAGGGACAGTGTACAAACTTGGATTCTGTGCTGCCCGCACTGGGCAGCCCATGTCTCCATGTGGGCAAAGAATAACTCTCTCTAAAAGTACAAGTTTTCTTTAAAAATCAGCTTTTGTTCACAGAGACCCTATTTAATACGAACTTGGAACTAATCACCATGCACCACCTGGGAGGGAACTGGAGGATTCCAGATCACTCTCCTTAGTCATTCCCAAAGAAAAGCTCTCACACCAACACGCACAGCTTTCCTGCCTACTGCCCTGGACAATGGTTACAAAAATCCTTACGTTAGGGCAGCAGAAATGTTTCAATGTTTAGGACAGTGAATGTTTCAAATTTAAGCTAATGAGGAGGGGAGGCCTTATTTCCCCATCCTTACTAAGGTCTCATCTCTGACCTGTCTCTGTTCTGCTGTGGTTTTGAGTAGACCCTTCAAAAGCAGAAGTGGTTTGCAGGAACTTTCCCACAGATTCTGCCTAGATGCCTTGGCTTACTTTTGTATAGAGAGGGTAGATATTTCACAAAATAAACAGGTAATTTTCTGTGAGAGACAGCTGTAGTTACAAAGGCATTGGCGGTTTCTCTCCTGCAGTCAGAGATTCATTTTCACACTAGCTTTACAGACATCATATCCCAATTCAGCAGACGACAGGGCCCAGCATGTGGCTGTGAATAATCTTCAGTAAAACACAAACCTGCCAAAAATGCACAGAGAATTAGATACTCCATGGTCTGTACTTCTTCACTGCATGTCTCCATTCTGAAGTAACTTCATTTCCACTGATTATCTGTCCTGACAGCTTTGCGAGAATCCACCCCATCAGCCAGTTTTTAATTGCTGATGAAGGGTTACATTTTATAGTTCTGTTTCTAAGCCTCTGTGCAGCTGTGCCTATTTTATGTTAGAATTTCAGCTTTGGTGTCCAGTGTTCCTTTCAGCAAGCTCGTCCAGTTCAGACATCTGCTGTGGTTTGTATTTTGCAAACTGCATGCAAATGAATATTACCATGCAGCACCTAATTGTGCTTTTTTGGGGTACCATGTGCTGCTCAGATAAACAGGTAATAAACAGTTAAATGTCTCCCTTTATAGAACCCAAGTGTTTGCCTTCTTGCTTTATTTAAAAACAAAATGTCAACAGAAAGGCACAGAGACCAGTGTCATTACAGCATTTATCTTCATGTCCTGTTACAGCTGTTTCTCACAGCCCAGGAAAGTTGCTGCAGGCAGCTCAGTTTCAAGTTGTATCCTTGTTTGCTATACCCACTATTTAAATAATAGCAAAGATCTGTGTTTTGATAACAGCAGCATTGCATGCTTGCCTGTTTTTCATTCTAGGTCATGATGCTCGTTTGCAGACCAGCTTTAAGTTGCACAGAATGCAGAACAAAGTAAACTCTTCCTTGTGCAATCTCCTTGGTGGTTTGAGTCTGTTCTGCCCAACACTCCCAACCCACCCAATGTACTTGTCTGCAGACTCTACTGTGGAACCAAAAATACAGGGGCATTTCTTCCAGTGGAGTTAAACAGCCAGGCTCTTCATATCAGGGGTGAGGGCTGTAGGTGACTGGGGAAAACAAACCACTTAATAAACAATACCTCTGATTAGATAGGGATGAACAAGCTGGACTTTGATATTGTTAAGCAAGACTGCAGAGTACAGAAAACAGGAAACATCCAGCACAGTGTGGACAGGTGGGTAGGAGACAGACTCCACTCTGCTTGAGCCTGCTCAGATTAGACTTTAACCTCATCACGCAGGCAGCAGCCTCATAGGGCAACAGAGCCAGGTGTTTTTCATGTGGATGCATATTATTCTTGGACATCTTTCCAACTTCCAGTGTTTTTTTCCATTCCATTTCAATCCATTTTACAGGTTTGACCACATCCAAAAGTATTATTTAATTTACTTAAGTGCAGAGAGAAGCTATACATTTGTAATTTTCCCTGTGGTGACCATATAATCTCTGAAGTTGCTTCATCTATTTGTTTTTCATCATTCTTTCTGAGGTGTACTACTCTCTCCCATTTACTTATTCATCTCTCTCCCATTTACTTTTTTTTTTTAATTTAAGATGCTAGGTAATTTGAGTAGTTAAAGACAAAACATTATCAGAATTATATTGGTAGAAACAGACGATAAGAATCACAATCTGGAAAATTGTAAGTAATTACAATATTTTAATCTGTCTTTAAAACAGTCTTTCTGTTGATTTTAATATATATTATCCAGCAACACTTCACCTAAAACTTAAGTGCACGACTATCAGATCCTTTGACAGCAAGGCTGGATATAACGACATCAATTAAATTGTCAAATTCCAAAAAATAAGCCCACAAATCAAGACCTAAGTAATAACCCATGACACATGTGAATACAGTTTTCAATGGTCCTTAATATTTTTAAATACATACTTCTGTCAACTTCTATATGGGAATTCCAGATAAGAAGGCTGACACCAGCAAAGTCTCCAAGACATTCAAATAGAAAATTCACTTATGTTGTAACACATTTCTTGTGTTTTAACCTAAGCAGTCTCTTTTATAGCTAACTACTGCTTTCTGTTTCTATGCTATAAAAGGCTCAATAATGAACATTTAAACCCTGTAACTAGGGCTTAAATGCACCTTATGCATCTGCTTTACAGTGATGTTTCAAACACAGCTATAAGTCTTTTATATTGCAAGACTGTTTATATCAACTCTTTCATGAACACATAAAAAAGCCATGATATGTGTAGAACTGCCCCTGTACTTAGTTAGATATGTATTTAAGCAATCAATTCGCAGACATCCAAAACTCAAAACCAGCTAGTAATCCTTTCTCGAATAAATTATTATACTCTTCACTAAAAAAGTGTATCAGCAATCACTGCGATAGTCTGAATAACCATTTTTAAGAATACAAAAAACTGAGGGTAGTTGTTCTTTAGTGCAACTGACCTCCCTTCTTGTTCATCCTATCCTTATCCTTGACTGGGATCTTTGTCCTATGTCCTCCTTCCTATGCCAGAGGCTGAGGAAGATGAGGAGCCCCAGGACTGAGAGATGGTTCTGCCTCTGAAACTGAACTCCCACTGGGAGCCCTGTCTTCCTGGCCACTGGAAAGGTGTGAGAGTTGCCAGGTCTGAGATCAAACACTACCTCCATGAGACAGAATTACAGCTTGGATAATACAACAATTTTGGCATGGAATAGTTAGTGCAGGCAATGATTTGGTATTTATCATGGGCCAAGTTAGTTGTTTGATAAATGCAAGTACACTGCATATCACTCATGATGAAAGCTTTTCCCTCTTATTATTATTTAGGAAATCACACTACTATAACCTCATTTTTAAGGGGCATATTTATCCTCAAAGTATGATTATGTGTGATGGAAGTATGTACTCTTTTCCACTGTAACTTTAGTATCATTGTTATTTCTGCACAGTGTGGTCAGTGTGATGGGTCTGCATACTAACAGTGACATCATCTACTATAATTCTTCGTTTCATTTGCTGACCTGAAAAGGCTCCCATTCCTAAATTAAGTGAAAAAATTAAGTGTCTTGTATATTCACTTTTTTTCCCCTGTGTCCTCAAAATCTCTGTGAGGACCTGTAATCCTGTGCTTGGAGTGCTGGATTGAAGGGTTAGAAGGCCTGGAAAGGATCACACCAGCAGTTATCCATCTGGAAATACATTTATGTACTTCTGAAGAGTTAAGAATGAAAGGTGGGCTGTAGGGGATTATTTAAAGTGCATCTAAATGTCTGACACTGCCTTTTTTCAAGAAGACTCCCACAGATTTTCTCTAATAGCCCGTGAGACCGTATCACAGATGACATTGAGAATAAAACACTTCCAAGAACTTCCCTCCTGCATCAACTTCTAGCCAAACCAGGAACAACAGGGCTCAAACTCTGACTTTGAGGAAGAAGACCACCATTATGGCTCTTTCTTGGTCTCAAGAGGGTCTTAGATAAGATATTTAATTAAAATATTTTTAATCTATATTAGATGCTTCTGTTGTGGTGGAGAAACTTTAATACACCATGGGGTTTGTCTTTCTGCTAGGATGGGAGAAATAGAATGTAAAGCAAACACTGTAAAGCAGGGAAGGCTTTATGTCCATGTTACGTGTCATGGCTTCCTTCAGCAAAAAAGCATAGAAGGGCAGCATGGAGGAAAACAGAAGAAAGAAGCATAAGGCCTTTGACCACACTGTCAGCTCCTTCAGAGGTTTCTCTGCTGACTGGCAGTCTGGCAGGCTCCTAAAGTTTCCTAAAAGCACTGACCTTGGCATGCAGCTGCACAAGAGAGGCTCAAGGAGGAAGACTGTGCTGTGGAGAAAGAAATCAGGGTCTCAGCTGTCCTTGTAAAGGCCAAAGGGTCACTGCAGCAGCCAAACAAATGGAGAAACTACGTCATTCTTCAGGCAAACACTGGGTCTCTCTGGTAAAAACATGCCAATGTCCAAGGCTGCAGAGGGTGATGTTCCTGAGGGTATGATGCTTGTCCAGCAGTCCTTGTGCTATATTTTCCTCTAGGAGTACTGGCCTGCAGGATGGGGAGAAAGAAATTAAAGCAAATAATCAAATCTATAGGCCTAGACTTGGTGAATGGTTGTAATGTGGATTCATATAAACTGCAATGCTGATACACCATTTATACAGAATCAGTATCTTCCACTGAAAAATTCTGCTAAGCAACAGAGAAGTCTTCACATCACTGCAATATGGGTGGGCATCTCAGTGGGATTTGGGGGGGAAAATCTGGCTTGCAGCTGTGCACTTCCATGTGGGCATATGTGGTCTGACAACCATTAATTTCACAGGTACACTGTATTACAGAAAATCAGAACTTGCATTAAACTTTATCATAAAATCTGATACTGTAGCATCACATTTTGCCTTTCCACATACCAACTGGAAAAGGAGCATATGGTTCCATGTAAGACTTTCCAGTGAGGAAAAGCAATGTAACACTTAGGAAGCCACTGAAATGATACCAGCTCATGCCAGTTAAGGATCTGTTGCATTGTTTCTGCATTTTGTTTTCTGCTCTTTCTTCCTGCAGTTTCCTAAATATAAGCTTTCAGAAGATCTAGCCCTAAACGATAAAGCTGTGTCCAAGATACCTGTAAGCAATTTGCATGGTTTCTCTTGTAGCTCTTTTTGGTCTGTTTTAGAAAGAGGAGGAATAATTTGAAATAACTGGAAAACATCTCAGTTTTACTGCATGAATGGCCTCATATATACAGGGGAGGGGAAAGGGGAGGAACAGCAGGAGCATGACCAGGTCTCATTGGAGGTGTGTGGTGGTGGTCTGATAGCCAGTGACCAGCCTTGAGCAGTGACACGTCCCCCAACAGCTTGCGGGGGAGGAGGGACAACAAAGGAGTGGAGGGGGAGGAAAAAAAAAAGCCCCACCAAGAATTTTATAAAAGTTAGTGATTTGAAGGAGAGGTCTCTTTGCCTGCAAACACCTCACCAGAA